TAGGTTCAGTAACAGAAAGTGGCTATCAACCTAACGTTTAGGTTCAGTAACAGAAAGTGGCTATCAACCTAACGTTTAGGTTCAGTAACAGAAAGTGGCCATCAGTCTAACGTTTAGGTTCAGTAACAGAAAGTGGATATCAACCTAACGTTGAAGTCAAGTTTGATATCAGAAATGTGTGAAGAATATGGTAGACGTGAAAAAATATAAACTAAAAAAAATGTCTTTCTTTTCCAGTTGATTTGATGTTTAACGTTTAATTTTTTATTCACTCTTAAATACTGGAGTTGCATTTAATCATTAGGTTCAATATATAGCACTTTCAATGAATTAAGAAACGCGTTAGACTTTAAAAAGTTGGGAAATTAACAGTGAAAGTGAAGTTTTATTGAAAAATAAACCAAAGTAGTTTCTCACTGCTTCTGTAAGTTTTTTAAATATTTCAACATTTTTACTAATAAAAGATTTATGAAATTTCTTGGTTAATAAGAACAACAATAGGCTTATTTGTCCTAAAATATTTGAACACAGTGATTTTTGAAGTCGGTTACTACAATATCATAATTATTTGAGATTGCTATTCCGGATATCCAACTGAACTGTCCGCTGTGACATCCTTTGGTGCCAAAGGAACGGATAAATCGCCCATCTGGTCGACAGATTTGAACGCGTCCGTTTCCACTATCGCCAACAAAGATGAACCCTTTGCTATCCACGGCCACACACTCTGGACGTATGAACTGTCCACGCTGAGTACCCTTCTGACCAAACGTAAATAGCAAGTCTCCGTTGGACGAGAAAACATGAATTCTATGATTTCCGAAATCAGAGACGACCACTCTTTGGCCATCAGGAGTGACGGCAATCCCTGTGGGCTCGTGGAACATGCTGCGCTGTCGAACACTCCCACCTTCAGTAAGAGATTTGACACCCATCTCACACAAAAATGCGCCCTCTTTATCGAAAACTTGAATCCTATCGTTGCAAGTATCACAGACGTAGATTTTTCCATTATGGTCAATAGAGATAGACTCTGGACTCCTAAAGTGTCCAGGAGACCTCCCTTTCGTGCCAATCTGCTTCTGGAATCTTCCATCTTTTTTAAACACGTGGATGCAATGCTTCCATTTATCTGTGACCAGAATTGTTTGCTCTGTCTGCGATAAAGCAATGCCGAATGGGCAAAGAAATTCACCAGGTTTTTGGCCCCTGGTGCCAAAAAAACGAAGATACTTTCCACTGTTAATATCAAATACGAGGACACGATGGTTGTCCATGCTAACAACGAATAATTCATTAGACCAGGGAGATACAGTAATACCAGACGGTCTCTGAAGCTGACTGGTGCCTAGTCGCGTTTTAGGAACAAAGGATTTTGACCTGTAAAGACGAGAATGTGCTTCAGCCCAATCTTTTATTTTAGGATTTTCTTCGTTCGTTGCTATCCCACCAGAGGGAAATGAGTGTGGTATATTAACATTAGAATCACTTTCTTTTTCTCCTTCTTCGAAAGATTCTTTCCTTACAGTAACTAAATTAAACGACTGAGGATCAAACGACATCTTTGTCTGACAACTAGAAGACACATCTGTTATTAAGTCTGAAGACTCGCGGTGTAGACCTAGAAAAATGTTCACCTATAAAAAATCCAAAATAAAAATCTATTAACTTAAAAGGTTTCCCAAATATTGAAACTATTATCGAGTATTTCTGTATTCTAACAATTAGTACCAAGAATTTCTAAATTCTATCACTATCTTATTATCTCATATAAAAAGAAACAATAAGCCATATGTTTAGGCTAGTATAGAGAAGCCGCCAATAAACGTACTACAGGCCTTCAAAAAACAATTCAATGTTATTAAATACGTGAAAAGTTCTGGAAACTTGTATTATCAAGTTATAAAAACACTTAAAATATTATTACTTGCATAAAAGACATCTGGTTTTTCTAGCTTTTACATGTGATTTTTAAATTATAAAGGACAATGTTTGAATTTTCTGTCAGGTATTTAAATTCAATCTGTTAATTAAACACTTTATCTATAACTGATTCCACAGAGAAATTGGTTCAGATTGTAAATACATCTGTATGTATGTTTATCTTTCTGTACTATTCCAAATGAAAAACTAACAAATCTAACGCTTACGTGTCAGCACCAATGCTGTAATTTTAGATGTCTAGTTTGTTTTCTGATATCATAGAATATTGTTCTGACATCGTCTAGTATTGTTATGAAAACATATATTGTTCTGACATCGTCTAGTATTGTTATGAAAACATATAATATTGTTCTGACATCGTCTAGTTATTGTTATGAAAACATATAATATTGTTCTGACATCGTCTAGTATTGTTATGAAAACATACAATATTGTTCTGACATCGTCTAGTATTGTTATGAAAACATACAATATTGTTCTGACATCGTCTAGTATTGTTATGAAAACATACAATATTGTTCTGACATCGTCTAGTATCGTTCTGAAAACACACAATATTTTTCTGACACCGTCTAATACAGTTTTGACACTGAGTACATGACATTGTTCTCAGATCGTCTAGTATTGTTCCGACATCATATGATACTGTTCTGACATTATATAACAAGAACAATAATCACGTAGTCCTTCAGATCAAATGAAATGTATCCATCGAAAATCGTGTAACAGTAATAAATAAAGCTATATACAAGAAAATACTTATCAAGCAGTACCTTTTATATTTACATACCTATATTTAGTTTGCCTCATTTTCCTGAGATAGGTAATTTGACATTTGACCCCTGTATTTAAATCCCTCATTAACCATTATTGCAAGGATATTTTAATATGTCACGAAGTCTTGTTTCAAGATGTTTTTTTTCTGTTAAAAACTATTTCAAAAATTCAAAACTGTGGATTTGGCAATATGGTAAATGATAAGTACATTCCGGTGTTCTTTTATATATTTTTTCAGTAGTAAAAAGCCAAAATATTCAAATACAATTATAATATGTATAAAACTGTATTGTAGTTAGAGAGGAAAAACATACTAAAATGACTTTTCATAATCATCTTACTTCCATTTGCAAAATATAAACCTCTCTGGATAAAACGTCAAGTTCGCCATTTTGTTTCTATCGGCCCAATTGTCCTTAAATTGCTATCAGAATAGTGGTTCTTTAACTATTTGACACGTACATCCAGGAAGAACTTTTTTTGATTCACGGAACAAGAACGTAAGGTTCGTTTAATCATAGGTTTCCAGTAACTGTTTGTTTGTTTGTTTGTAATTAAACACAAAGCTACACAATGGGCTATCTGTGCTATGCCCACCACGGGTATCGAAACCCGGATTCTAGCGTTGTAAGTCCGCAGACATACCGCTGTGCCACTGGGGGACTCCAGTAACTGATTTCTATCTACGTCATCTGTTGTTAATAAGAGCAATAAGTCTGAAATTAAGTATTCTCGTGAATCATTACTATGCTTTATATACGCTACAAAATCAAAATAGTATTGAGCATTAATGTCTAAACAACAAGAAACAAGAGTAATTTTAAGTCTGAGGAAAAAGTTTGATAACATAATGTAAAATGTTCAGTGTCTTGGACATATTAATCTTGATTCCTCGTTAACAAATGTAGATCATCATTGAGAAAACATAAAACAAACAAATGTTAATAAATAAATTTCTGACAAACAAAACTTTTATATTAAATTTTATAGTTAGATCCCAGGTTCTACTCATTCGAACTTTACCAACAACGAACAGCACCCTACTTACCTGTTACTATTATTCACACTTTGTTCAACAACTCTTAACTATAATTGAAACTTAAATGTTTAATTACTATTTATATTTGTAAAACTAATATCACCTGTTTTTGTTTTTTGAATTTCCCTAATTTAGCAGTGTAAGACTAGAGAGAGAAGGCAGCTAGACATCACCACCCACCGCCAACTCTTGGACTACTCTTTTACCAACGCATAGTGGGATTGACCGTCACATTATTACGCCCCCACGGCTGAAAGGGCGAGCATGTTTGGTGGGACTGGGATTCGAACCCGCGACCCTTTAGATTGCGAGTCGAGCGCCCTAACCATCTGGTCATCTAATATCATCTACTGGTTAAGTTTGTAACATAATACTTTCTTGAAACGTTACATATATTATCCTAATTTTAAAACAATAATGATTTGTCGGTAGTTACGCGTATGCTTCTCTAAATCTTTGATATGATGATCATTTCAAAAATTCAAACTTGAAAATCACCAGAGGGAAGGCGTCCCGAACCGCAACGTTGTGAACATTAAAACACATATTTATCATTAACCATTTTTTATGGTATCAGTTTTAACATTTTTTTCGTTATCTTAAGTTTCATCAGTGAATCCGCTTTAGGTATTGGTTTTCTTATATTTTAAATGAATTCAGACTTAATAAAAGATAGATTGCCAAACATTATAACAAACAACAACACTACCTACTGGTTAAACTTGTAGTACATACATTAATTACACATTATAACAAGCAATACCACCACCTACTGGTTAAACTTGTAGTACATACGTTAATTACACATTATAACAAACAACAACACTACCTACTGGTTAAACTTGTAGTACATACGTTAATTACACATTATAACAAGCAATACCACCACCTACTGGTTAAACTTGTAGTACGTACGTTAATTACACATTATAACAAACAATACCACCACCTACTGGTTAAACTTGTAGTACATACGTTAATTACACATTATAACAAACGATACACCACCTACTGGTTAAACTTGTAGTACATACGTTAATTACACATTATAACAAACAATAACACCACCTACTGGTTAAACTTGTAGTACATACGTTAATTACACATTATAACAAACGATACCACCACCTACTGGTTAAACTTGTAGTACGTACGTTAATTACACATTATAACAAACAATACCACCACCTACTGGTTAAACTTGTAGTACGTACGTTAATTACACATTATAACAAACAATATTACTTACTAGTTAAACCCCTTACGTTAAGTACACATTATAACAAACAATACCACTTACTGATTAAGCTTGTAATACATTGCAGAAAGCAGTCAACATATAATTCAGAACAAGAGAATACTGCATACAAGAAATAGAACTTGAAAGGAAAAAAAAAGAACGTGACACAAATTAAACAGTCACTGTACCTTCTCTGCTGAAGTACTTGCTTCATCAAACTTTTTATCAACAGCCTCTTGAATATTTTGAGCAGTGTTATCAAGTTTTTTCACTGACTCTCTCCAACTAGCGTCTTCATTAATCATAACCTGGTCAACGTTTCTCAGTAAACGTGTTTCGGTATCAAGGATTTTCTTAATGCGCTTGTCTGCAGCCTCGTGAATTTCTTCCTTTAGTTTTAATAAAGATTCCTGTTAAAAAATTTAAAAACAACATAAATCAAAATACCATTCTTAGCGCAATTCGTTTTATTAGGTAATTCGGAACAAGTAGGGTAAAGTGTCTTACTCAAGAACACAAAAACATAACGAGGACTGGCCTCGAACTCACATCCATCCAACTACGACTTTAAATCACGAAGCTGTCCCCACACAGTAGAGTACTCTTCAACTATTATTGTAGTGTTTACAGGAAAAAAAAAGGTAACTGAAGGAAAAGTGACATTATGGGTAATTTTGCTACGTTTAATAGGTCTTGGGTGTGTGGCTAAAGGATTAGGTACTAAATTAAAAATGTTAGAGCTAGGTATAAGAAATGACAGGTCTTGGTTTTAGGGCTAGAACTGACTAGTAGGGATAACAAGTCTTGGTTCTAGGGCTAGAACTGACTAGTGGGGATGACAGGTCTTGATTCTAGGGCTAGAACTGACTAGTAGGGATGACAAGTCTTGGTTCTAGGGCTAGAACTGACTAGTAGGGATAACAGGTCTTGGTTCTAGGGCTAGAAATGACTAGTAGGGATGACAGGTCTTGGTTCTAGGGCTAGAACTGACTAGTAGAGACGACAGGTCTTGGTTCTAGGGCTAGAACTGACTAGTAGGGATAACAAGTCTTGGTTCTAGGGCTAGAACTGACTAGTAGGGATGACAGGTCTTGGTTCTAGGGCTAGAATGACTAGAAGGGATGACAGGTCTTGGTTCTAGGGCTAGAACTGACTAGTAGGGATGACAGGTTTTGGTTTTAGGGCTAGAACTGACTAGTAGGGATGACAGGTCTTGGTTCTAGGGCTAGAACTGACTAGTAGGGATAACAAGTCTTGGTTCTAGGGCTAGAACTGACTAGTAGGGATGACAGGTCTTGGTTTTAGGGCTAGAACTGACTAGTAGGGATGACAGGTCTTGGTTCTAGGGCTGGAACTGATTAGTAGAGACGACGGGTCTTGGTTCTAAGGCTAGAACTGATTAGTAGAGTCAACGGGTCTTGGTTACAAAGCCAGGATTGTCTTGGTTCTGAGGCTAGAGCTGACTAGTAGGGATGACAGGTCTTGTCTTTGTTTCTATGGCTAGGACTTACTAGTAAGAAGACAGGTCTTGTACTTGTGGCTACAGGTCTAGATTTTTTTAGAAATAGTTCATAGTTTCAAGATCTGAGTTAAGTCAAAGGAAAGACAGGTTTTATTTCAAGGGTTGCAACTGATAAATAAGGATGATAAATCTTGCTTCCAGATAAAGAATGATAAATAAAGATGTTCTAACTAAAGCTATGGGTAATAGAGAAGGTTGCTTTTCGTTATGGGGCTAGAACCAAACACCAGCTAGATGTTCTGACTAAAGCTATGGGTAATAGAGAAAGTTGTTTTTCGTTATGGGGCTAGAACCAAACACCAGCTAGATGTTCTGACTAAAGCTATGGGCAATAGAGAAGGTTGCTTTTCATTATGGGGCTAGAACCAAACACCAGCTAGATGTTCTGACTAAAGCTATGGGCAATAGAGAAGGTTGCTTTTCGTTATGGGGCTAGAACCAAACACCAGCTAGATGTTCTGAATAAAGCTATGGGTAATAGAGAAGGTTGCTTTTCGTTATGGAGCTAGAACCAAACATCAGCTAGATGTTTTGACTAAAGCTATGGGCAATAGAGAAGGTTGCTTTTCATTATGGGGCTATAACCAAACACCAGCTAGATGTTCTGAATAAAGCTATGGGTAATAGAGAAGGTTGCTTTTCATTATGGGGCTATAACCAAACACCAGCTAGATGTTCTGAATAAAGCTATGGGTAAT